AGACACGATCTACAATAATAAAATCTCCCACAGGCGTAGACACATACATAGTGGCACTCAAAGAATCACGAGGCACAACCAGACATGAAGCAAAATAGGATTATACGTAGCAATAAGTAGAGCCCCGACCAAATAGAACTGAAGCATATCTATGGAAAAATGGAACAATCATGTGATAACGACATTAGATGACTCGGCCTCAGGCCTAGCAGGGATAGCATAGCATCGAGGCTGGGCCCCATCACTCTGAACTACATCTCTTAGATGGCCTCTAGCTGGCTGGCCTCCACCTCTAACGGCCTAACCTCCACCTCTAACGGCCTGACCCCCACCTCTGGCTGCTTGACCCCTGCCCCTGACTGGCTGAGCGGGCGGTGGAGCAACCGGTGCCGGAACCATGGCACGAGAACTCTGCTATGGCATGTCACCCAATAATCTCGAATAGGACCTCCTGATGTGTCCAATACCACCACACTCAAAACACCCATCCTGCTGTTGTGGCTACTGAAACTGAAGCTGACCCGAACGGGCCGGATAACCATGGGATGGCTCTGAATTGGAGGCACACTTATAGGAGCTGATGGTGCATTGTAGGCTGGCTGCCCAGAATAAGGCACATAAGGACCACAACTCCTTGAAGCACCGTGAGATGCCTGAAACGCTAAATGAAATGGACTGGGAGGATGGCCTCTACCAAAAGCACCCCGGCCTCTAGATGAGGCACCACAAAAACTACTAGAATGATGAGGTCTCTTGTCTCACACCGGCCCCCTCTCCTGAGCACAAAATAACTCGATCCGTCTAGCAATATCTACTGTCGTCTAGAAGAAAATATCACTCTCTGTCTCCTTGGCCATCTGAAGCTCGATAGTGTAAGTGAGCCAATCAATAAATCTCCTCACTCTCTCCTTCTCAGTAGGAAGCAAGATAGTGGCATGGGGAGCGAAGTCCACAAATCGGGTCACGTACTAGGTGACAGTCATACCACCCTGTTGAAGTCGCTCAAACTGCCTATGGTACTCCTCTCTCAGGGTGACAAGGATGAACTTCTCTAGAAATAGATGTGAGAACTGATCCCAGGTAAGTGCAGGCGACCCAGCTGGTCTAGTCAACATATAATCTCTCCACCATCGATCCGGGCAGAACCAGTGATCTGAAATGCTGCAAAATCGACCCCATTGGTCTCAACTATACCCATGTTGCACAATACCTTGTGGCAACGGTCCAGAAAATCCTGTGGGCCCTAACAAGATGCACTACTGAAATGAACAGGAAAGAGCTTGGTGAACTTATCCAACCTCAACATAGCCTCAAAAGACAAAGCGGGCTTATCACCGGCCTATGCCGCAATAACTGGTTGAACTACCCCAACTGTCGGGGCTGCTGGAGTCTAAAATTGGGGAGCCAGCTGCTCCGTAGTATGAGTAGCGGGAGTCTGTGCTCCTCTCCCAGCTCGAGAGACGGCTGGTGCCACCGGGAATGTACTGGTCCGGGACAAACTCTCCATAAGGACCACCAAACGGACTGGAGCGTCCTGAAGCACTGGAGTGGCTATGAACCCCTCCGGGACCTGAGCTGGTCCGATAGGTACAGTTTGAGCTGGAACCTCCTCCTTGAAATCCACATGAGGCTGCACTGCGGGTGCTACTGCTCGAGCTCTAGGCTGAGCTTTGCCTCTGCCTCGGCCTCTAGCGCGACCTCGGCCTCGACCTCTGCCCCTAGTCGTACCTGCCACAGGGTGCTCCGAATCCTGCCTAGCTGTAGATGCAGTACGTGTTCTCGCCATCTGCGAGAGAACAAGAATAGAAGAGTTCAATCATCAATGACAAAATAAAATTGCACGACATAAAAGAATAGAAGTGAAATTGTTCCTAAAATCCATAGCCTCTGGAAGATAAGTACAAACGTCTCTGTACCGATCCTCTAGACTCTATAAAGCTTGCTCGTGACTCGTGAGACCTAGCCAACCTAGTGCTCTGATACCAACTTGTCACGATCCAGAATTTCCACCCTCGGGACCGTGATGGCGCCTAATATTTCACTTGGCAAGCAAGCTAATGTTAGATTAGTTTTAAGCCATTTTTAAACAAATCAAATTTAACTAATGTCAATTACTAAAATAACCGTAAAATGCGAAAAGCCATAACAACTGAAATAATCTAAATAAGACCCCGAATCTGGTGTCACAAATTCACGAGCTACTAGAAAATACAGATAAAGGTCTAAATGAAAGTAAAGCTGTCGGAAAGAAAATACACATCCAAGATAAGGTAGAAGAGACTTCAGGGCTGCGAACACCGAGCAACTGTACCTCAAGTCTCCATAGTGATAGTCAACCCGGACAATCTACTAACCGCCGCTAGGACCAATTCCAAAATCTGCACAAGAAGTGTAGAGTGTAGTATGAGTACAATTGACCCCATGTACTCTGTGAGTGCCGAGCCTAACCTCGACGAAGTAGTGACGAGGCTAAGGCGGGTCACTTACAATAACCTCTATGCAGTATAAAATAATGATAGAAAAGGAAAATACAAAAACGAAATAAGGTAGTTAACTTATGCAAATAACTCAATCCTCAAAGAAAACCAGTAAATTCCAGAATAACCAATCCTTAGAGTCTCGTACGAAAGTACCGACGCCAACACAATACAATAAGAAATAGAAATACATAAACTATTGCGTCGCGCAACCTGATCCCACCTACAACACTATCTTCCCTTATTCCACCATGTAAGTATCAATAATAATAAGTAAATATATGTTGTGGCGCGCAAACCGATCCCGCCATATAATCAGAGACAATATCATAATCCTCCCTTATTTTATCATATCAATCCACCCTAATTTCACCTGTTGCAGTGGGCAACCCGATCTCACCGTATCAATAAAAATCCTCCCTTATTCCATCTGTTGCAGCGTACAACCCGATCAATAAATAAATCAATATGTGCAATCAATTTAACAACTTGAATAACAAGAATCTCTAGGATTAACGAATATGAAAGCTACAAATCAAAAAGGAATCTCGTACCAAATCATGAAAAGTTACAATTAATACTGAGCAACAAGACAAGTCAATTATATGGCAGTTAAAGGATACAAGTAAGAAAATTAAGGCAAGTAGCAATTAATCATGAAAGCATGGAAGAGATTAACATTTTTAATGGGAGAATAATAATGACAAGTAGCAAGTTGAGGCATATGAAACAATTAAGGTATGTAACAGTCAAGACATGGAATAATATAATCAATGAAATACGGGTAGACATGGAAACAAGTAATTGACGGCATATAGACACTCGTTACCTCGCATATATGCCGCTACTCATGAAATTCACATAGCACACAACTCAATGGTTCCTAATTACCTCAAATCAAGGTTAGACCCAACACTTACCTCACACCGCAATCAACTTAAAATTCAACCACGGCCTTGCCTTTTGGATCAAGACTCCAAACCAACCAAATCTAGCAAATTATTGACCAAACGATTCAAAATAAGCTTTAAAAATTACTCACGAACGAAAGAAGTTCAATTTAGATCATTATTGAAAAAGTCAACAAAAGTCGACCCCTGGCCCGCTTGGTCAAAATCCGAGATTCGGACCAAAACCCAATCACTCATTCACCCCGAGCCCGATTATGTAATTAGTTTCGAAATCTGACCTCAATTCGAGGTCTAAACTGCAAATTTACAAAAATCCCTACTTCTACCCAAATCCCTAATTTCAACCATGAAAATCCTAGTTTGATGTTGAAATCTTATAAAATGTAATGGCTAATTAAAAAGAAGTAGATTAAAGTCACTTACCAATGAATTTCGGAAGAAAATCTCTCTAGAAAATCGCCGCTAGGGTGTTTAGGGTTGAGAGTTTGAAAGAAATGAGCTAATTCTCGTTTTCCCCCTCTTTTACCCAGCTGCAGCTATCGCAATTGCGATATATATATAGTTCGCAATGGCGACACATAGTTCGCAATTGCGATGATCGTAATTGCGATCAACCCTTCGCAAATGCGAGAAGTCTCTGAGCCTGTTGTCATCACAAATGCCACAATTTTGTCGCAAATGCGAACTAAGGCTGCCACAAATGCGAACAATCGACTCTCAAATGCGAGTCTGCCTCAGTCCTTCCTTAATCGCAAATGCGACTCAAAAGTTCGCAAATTGCGAACCTGCCCCCTTTGCATCTGTGGACTTCACTTCACAAGAGCAAAGTTAACCCAGCCCCACCATCTTCGCATATGCAAGCCTGACCTCGCATTTGCCATCAGGTCCTCGCAAATGTGAGATCTGCAGATCTGATGCACAACACTCTTCTAAGTTCAAAAATCACTTTGTGGCCTATCCGTAATTCGCTTGAGCCATCGGGATCCAAACCAAATATGCACACAAGTGTAAAAACATCCTACGAACCCGTTCGCTCGATCAAAACATTAAAATAACACCTAGAACTACTAATCGGACACGAAAACCAATGAAATTTTTAATAAAACTTAAGAACATGCAACTTTTCAATCGGACGTCCGAATCACGTCAAATCAGCTTTGTTTTACACCAAATTTTGCAGACAAGTTATAAATACTGTAATGAACTTATACCAAGTTTCGGAACCAAAATTCGAACCCGCTAGTAATTAAGTCAAGCTACAGTCAAACTTGGAATTTCTTTAATCCTTTAAACTTCTAGTTTTCGACATATTATGATAAATCAAGTTAGCGACTTCCGAATTTGATTCCGGGAATACGCCCAGGTCCAAAATCACGATACGGACCCACTGGGATCGATAAAATACTGATCCGTGTCCATTTGCTCAAAACGTTGACCGAAGTCAATTCAAATAAATTTTAAAGGCACGATTTTATATTTTTATTAATGTTTCACGTAAAAACCTTACGGAAAAAGATACGGACTACGCATGCAAATCGAGAAAGGTAAACGAAGCTATTCCGGGTTTCAATTTGTGTATATAAAACCAAAAGTGAGGGAAATTCTTAATTCGACTGACAGATCCACTGAAACTTTGGCTTCTTCGTTGTGACTTTTGTAAGCAAAATTTAATTTGAGACTCACGCTCTCTCTATGCTTCTTCCTCCGCTTTTCTCTTCCGGCTCTATTTTTCTCGCTGGTGGGTTTTACTCTTCCTTGTTTATTCACTCTCTTCTTCTAATTTTACTTTTATAATTTATCTTTTTGCTTTTGGTACTCTTTGGGTTTCAACAGTGACTTTTCAATTTTCTGGCTACAGTAAAGCAGGAAAATCGATAATTTCTTTGTGTTTCCACTGTTTTCCAAATTAAAATTTGGATATCTTGAGCTTTTGGGTATTTTTTTTGTAGGATTTTCTATATGCATGATAGAAATTGATTTCAGAGGTCGAAGCAATGATGATATTCTGGGGTATGAAATTATTTGGGCGTAGCGACAATCAAACCCGTATCTTTGCTTGGCGAAATTTGGATAGTATGTGATTTGAGGTTTCCATATCACATGCAATATGTTATTCTGATTTGGGTATGTGATTTTGTTTCTAATTTGATTAAGTTTTACTCTATTTTTCCAACGCCAGCTTCTTCAGTAAGGGAATATGTCTTATTTTGCTTTCAAATTTGAAAGAGAGACTTTCTCTTTCTTAACAAAAAATAAATTTTCATTATGGATTTCGTTCCTCTTTTGATATTTTGATCAAAATTGTCAATGAAACATGCAAAGGGGAAATTCTTTTTTTCCCTGGAAGGTTCTAGAGATAGGTTTACTTAATAAGTGATTGAACATTTTTTTTTTGTATTACTAGCTTTAAACTGCATATTCATTGCATTTTTTCTGCAAATTCATGAATACATATGATACAGATGCTTTGTTATTCTAAAACTTGGGGCTTTTGTTTTTTGTTTGGTTAAATTTATTTATTTTGGTGAAAGAGGTGGGTGCTGGATTAATTTAGAATGGTTACAACAAAAAAATTTATATCTATGTAAAATATTATCTGATTCTATAACTTACTGAGAAAAAAAAATGTAAGAACAGGGAATTCTACATTATATTCCATGTCATTATAAACTTACACATATGGGATTGCTTCGTAAGACCAAAGGAGATGAGATAACTTTGGCATAAATGAATCAATAATTTTCTTTTGGCAAGTGTTATCGAAAATGAAGTCCAAAAGTCAACACCATCATTGTTCACATTATTAAGTTCCTTACTTAAATTCTTATTATTCTTGTAAATTTTGTTCTTTGAAGATTTTTATAGTTTAGGTAATCATATTTGGTGTTCATATGTGCAAGTGTGACTTATCACCTACTTGAAAAGTTAGATTACATGAAAATTAATGAATGTGGAAAGCATTTTCCTTTTGTTCCCCCTTCTTTTTCGGATTTCACTTCTAAAATTCCTTTGAAGATTGCGTGACAGTTGAATGCCTAGAGGTCATGAGTATTATCTCATTTAACTTGCTTTGGAGTAAATACATGCCAACACCAATAAATTGTTGATTCCTCAGAGAGTAGTGATCGTTTTACTCCTTTTCAATACGCTCTATTCATAAATCTGCAATGATATTCTGTGGTTCGAATATATGTAACAACACGTCTTTTTTATCCTCTTGTAAAAGGTTCATGCTAAAAAAATTTCCCGGTGGCTTGTGATTTTGTGGTACTTTAAAACCTGGAAGGATGAGCATTTCTGGCAACTTATGTCATTTTGGTCCTCATCAAGGAAGTGATATTAAGGAGCTAACAATAATGGATCGTGGAGTGTACGTCTATTCAAAAATATTGTTAGCCCTGCTATGTTCTTTCCTATTATCTGGTATATCTAAAGGTAATATAGTAGGGCACAATATAAAACGTTTGCGAAGCCGTTGAATATTAGCTGAAATATCTTGAATTTCTGAGAATACACAAGTACCATACATGCTCCTTCTTTTGTCATAGTACCTCTTACTGCGCTGGTGAGGTCTATTTTCTTAATTCCTTCTTTTTCCCTAGAAATGTATTCATGCACCCTTGTTCGAGAATATGTTGATTGACTATTTAATATACGTGAGAAAATTCAGACCCATGTAAAAGTGACACCAAGGTGATGGAATGAATTGTTGTCTTAATTGAGGTTAAAAATACAAGTCTGCCTTCATCTGTGTGTTGGTGTCTCTGTCTATGAGACAATTCTGTTGAAGTAAGCAAGGATTAATTCTTTAAATAGTGATTGGAACTTATATAGTATGAAAGTACTCTATTTTGTTCTGCTACTGTCCATTTATAAGGCCTGATGGTGTGTTTATATATGAAGTTTTTGCAAAATTGATGGTGGGTCGATATGGTCCTATTGAACTTTAAGGAGGATAAGAAAAAAAATAAAGAAAAGAAAAAGTTGTTGGCTTTGGCTTTCTGTTCCCTCTTTTCATTAGTTAATGTTTCGATTATGCAGGGGCAATACCATGCACATTTAAGAAATGAAAGAAGTAAAAGTTGGGATTGCTGTAGTGTATTGGAATCTTGACGGTCACGGTCATGGACGGATATCCATGTAGAGAATTTCAGTATATCTAATTGGTGGTCATGTCTTTATTGTCGATGGTTCATCAAACTTCCTTTTTTGAAGACACTATGGTGACTTAGACTTCCTTTTGTATTAAAGAGATGGAGAAACATTTTGCTTTGCAGTTTGTTTTTTAATCTATTTGTCCTTTTCACGTTAAGTACTTCGTGACTGTAGTATTTCACGAAATGTGGATTTTTTTCTTAGGAATCTTTCCTCTATAGGGTGCTTTCTATTTAAATCTGTATATATTTCTTGATGTCTTAAGCAAGTTAATTGTTTCAACTCTTTTTTCTGTGGTACCTATGTTTTTGGTCCAGGAAAAGAAAAACTTCAAGTACTCCATTGGAGTAGAGATCACTATGATGAAACTTGGATAAAATGGATCAATTTTGTGAAATAGTATGTGCCTCACTTTGGAGGAATCTGGGGCTTGCAAGGTATATGTAAATTTTGATATATGAACCATCTTTTCTTGGGCTCTGAGCTAAAATATATGTAGATTTTGATATATGGCTCATCTTTTCCGGGTTGGAACTCATGTCTATGCATTACTATTGCAGGACAAGAAATCTTCTTGCTCTCATGTCGAGGTATCTGCTATTTCTATTAGTATAGAAGTGCTTTACAGTGAATGAAGACCAGTTAAAAGGAACAATTCAATATTTTCTTTTGAGACAGTTCATATGTTATAGACATTCAAGCACTTGAAGAAACTACCTCTATCTTTTGAGATTCTATTAAAGGCTTCAATTTTTGTTTTCCCTTGCCTTTCGTTCTACAATTAAACTTAATGTTAAAGACATTCAAGCACTTGAAGAAACTATCTCTATCTTTTGAGATTCTATTAAAGGCTTGAATTTTTATTTTTCCTTTTATTTCGTTCTACAATTGAACTTAATGAAGTAATTTCTTCACCACAGAAGCTTGCTGCTTAATTAGATAGTTGCACATTTTGTGTAAAATAAGATAGTTGTGCACTAAACAAACCAAGCTCTTCAAAAATATCCGCAGACAAAGAAACTACAGATTGAGTAGTATATCTCCAGTTAATGCAATATTGACTCTCGGAGTTCATGCTTTCAGGGGCTTCAATGTCTTTTGTCGCATTTTAATTTTTGTTACATAAAATGTATAGTTTATTAAATAAAATGAAGATCAATCTTAGTAATAAAGTTGCTAATGGTTTGTATTTTTCAGATGATTTTCCTAAGGATACCAAAAAAGAAGCTTTCACTGGTAATCTGCAATGCTTTTAGGCAAGGGTTTTGCATTTGATTCTTGATATAAGGTACTTGGTTGATTTAAAATCTCTAACCCTTTAGATATACAGATTATGGAATGATGAAAGAAATGTGAAATGCTTATGAATCTATTGGTTGGATGGCTCTAAGTTGAAATATCTGTAATTTATTGTTTGTACATGAAAGATCTTACATTACCAATGTCTTCTTTTGCTTTGAATGGAGACATGAGTTGTCAGGTAGAAAATCGTTTGAGGTTATGAAGAAGAAAAGAAACTTGAAAGTACTATTTCGAGATATCAGATGTTCTATTTTGATGAAATGTGTTCTGTTGTTATATAGAGCATAAACGGAATTATTTGATTTTTTCTATTATAATTGTAATTTGTGAGAGGAACAAATAGGTGCAATTACAATAGTCCATTCTAAAATTTTAGGTGTTATATTGTAAGATGCTATTCATATTACTATTTAGAGTTTGTGGTGATAAACTTTACTGTAATACTAAAAACTTAAGACCTGAAAATATCTGTGTTTAGATTCTCGTTTTATGATCATTATGCATATTTTTTTACGTGCTATGGTTCCCTTGAAAAGCATTTACATCAACATTTGTGAATTTCTTTTTGTTTTGTCGCGACCCCAACCCCGGTCGTGATGGCGCCCAACACACTGCTAGGCAAGCCCGACCAATTCAACAACCTTAACCCTTTTTATACAGTTCATGATTCAATTAACACAAATAATTACTAAGTCATAATACTGAAACTCTGAAATATAATTAAAACATGCGGAAAACCCAAGTAGAAATATTATTACACAGCCCGAAGAATCCGGTGTCACAAGTCTGAGCCTCTAATACACGGGTGTCAACCTACTACATATTGCTCTAAAGAAATGCGGAAATAAAGCAAATAGGTCAGATGGGAAGATCAGGACTGCGGACGTCATGCAGCTACCTTGATGCTCCCAGATATGATGCTCGGCAGAGAAATCCTCACTCAGCCTTAGTGGGTGCACATAGATATGCACACAAGGTGCAGGGATTAATGTGAGTACTTCCAACCCAGAGAGTAATAAACATAAGTAAGGATTGAGAGTAAGAAATCCTGGATAGGCACAATGTAAGCTATAATTACAGCAGTTTAATCCAGATATTGTCAACTCAATAAACCAATGAAAACAATGATGTTGCAACAGATAAGTAAATGAATGACAATCAATTAAGACATGCAAAAAATAGTACGGTACTCTCTAGTACCCGCTGCGGCGTGCAGCCCGCTCCATTTATTTATCGTCGACGGCGCTCACTGGGGTTGTGCAGACTCCGGGAGGGGCCCCTTACGGCCCAAGCGCAATATCAAGCCATCTCGTGGCATCCATTAGGCCCTAAGCCTCATATCTATATCAATATAATACTGCTGCGGCGCGCAGCCCCATCCCATACTCAGTCCAGAATCATATAAGCCCCTCGGGCACAATAATATAGAAATATTCAGCCCAAACTTCATTAGAAATATTATTTAAGTTCCAAGTTTTGAGAAAAAGTGGCTGAGTTTGCAAAACAGTACTAAATACTAGGACTGAGTTTAATTGTCTGAAAATATGGTAAGAAACCAGTAAGAGCAATCCCTGAAGGATTCAATCAGTTGGCACGAGCCAAATTATGACAATTAATCCATTTTTATAAGGATATCAACTAAGCTTCAATCAATTAGGTAGTAATTTTATTAAGCGGGACGGACCAAGTCACAATCCCCGATGGTGCTCTACCTCACGGCCGTTATCCGGCGTGCAAGTCACCTCACATAGCACTACGATGTGCAAATTCGGGGTTTCAAACCCTCAACACAGCATTTATATCTATTACTAACCTCAAGCCGGCCAAAATCCTAGCTCGCTATGCCCTTGACTCTCAAATCGACCTCCTCGCGCGTCGAATCTTACCAAAACCACAACGAATACGTCACATTATGCTATAGGATCAATACCCAATCGAAAATAATCGAAAAACATCAATAATCCCGAAATTGACAAAACTCGAGCCCCGGGCCCACTTCTCGAAACTCAGAAATTTTTACAGAAAAGTGTTCTTCATCTTCTCCCGATTCCGTACATATAAAGAACACAAAAATCGGAGTCCATTTGACCCCTCAAATCGACCCCTAAAGGTCTCATAATCTCAGGCCCCAAAATCCTATTTTTCTACTGTTTTTCATGAATTAAAAGGCTGGGATTATTGTCTATAATCACCCATAAATGAGTTTTAATAATCAAATCACTTACTTCTGTGATACCTACTGATTTTCTCTCTTAAAAATCGCCTCAGAAGCTTCTTCCCGTTCAAAAATTGGAAGAAAACTCGACCTGCTCATCATAGGTATACTAATCACGCGTTTTACTGCTCCCAATGGATTCCTTGTGAAATTCTAATGAATTTAGGTTTTTGAATCACTCAATTTGACCTTATAATGAAGGAGATATGTAGGTTTTAAGATTTGCAAATAGTGCAGGTTTTCAATATGCCGTCAGGGGCAATTTTGTCATTAACCCTGAAAATCTGGGCAGCCTTGGTAAAATGGCCATAAAATCCTCATACGATGTCCAAATTCGACGATTCTTTTTGCTACGGGTCCATAATTACGATACGGATCTAATCCTTCATTCAAAACAGTAATCGCAACTCATTTGTTCAATACGATATCATTTATGCTTGAAGAAACGACGTCGAAGCATAAGAAAAACGAGCACAACGCAGCCCAAACCTATCCGAAACTCACCCGAGCTCCTCGAGACCGCATACGAACATACTAACACGTCACATATGATCATTCAAACTTAGTTGCACTCTCAAAACACCAAAACTAACAAGTAAAGCACCAAATTTACATCGGATTCTCCTAAGTTCTTCTAAAACTTCCGAAACACGCATTTGATCAAAAACCCAACCAAATCACCTCCGAATAACCTGAAATTTTGCACACACATCCCAAATTACCTAACGAAGCTACAGCAACTCTCGGAATTCCATTCCGACCCTCGGATCAAAATCTCACCTATCAACCGGAATCCGCCAAAATACTAACTTCGCCAATTCAAGCCCAATTCTACACCTCCAAAACTACTTCCGATCACACTCCTAAGTCACAAATCATCCCCCGAAGCTAACCGAATCGTCGGAGTCCACATCCGAGCCCTCTAACTCATAGGTCAATATCCGGTTGACTTTTCCAAAACAAGCCTTCCTTAAAGAGACTAAGTGTCTCATTTCCTTCCAAAAATTAACCCAATTCAACTCGTTCACACAAGACACTGATAATGAAGCATAACGAAGCAGGAAATGGGGGAAATGGAGCGATTCTCATGAGACGACGGGTCAGGTCGTCACATCCTCCTCAACTTAAACAAACGCTCGTCCTCGAGCGTATCTAGAGTTGTCCTAGAAGCCAACAAATAGCTGAATGACCTTACCAAGCATATACCCGGGGGTGATCCCACGTCACCCTATCTCGCATAGGTCCGATAACACAACATAGCTGAAATTTCACAATCCATCTAGTCCATAAACCATAGAACCACATTGCACTTTCCGAAATCATAAACAAGATCAGAACCTCACATCTATACTCAGAATAAGCCCGAACGTAATAACCCATACCTGCAACCTCAGGTGCAATCATATGATATACTACATAACCCAAACACTCGAAACGATAACTTCTATTCACAGCAGTTGCCCACAACACCCGAATACCGGTAGAAAAACTCTTATCAACTAAAGTCTTATTCCAACACTTTCATATACTGCCAACGATAAATGAAACACGCAATAAACAGTAACCATTTCTCAGATCAACCATTCATGAAGCCACTTCCCTTTTGACTAATACCACAGCAAATTCAGAGCCGAACCTCGATATTATCCTTCCAACAAGCTGAAATCAAATCCGTTCGTATTCTTTAGTGACCCCAACGATCACCTCGAATCCAACACACCACTCTGGTGATATGACACCGCAATACAGGCCTAAGCCACAACTTGCATAATACGCGCACCAATAAGAAACGGTCTGAACATACTCAAATCATGAAAAATGACTCAAACGAAAGAGCTGTACCTCAAGCTCATCGGTACCATCACAACACAAGGCTGAGACCCCGTCTCACATCATAGAAATAGAACACCTGAATCTACCCTGAAAGGTCATATCTCCACGTGGCCTCGCTACAATGCACAATCCTATCCAAACACTGTTACACATGAAACACCTCAAGTCACTATGCTCAAAATCGACAGCCACGCACAATGTGATGTCTGGAACCAAAGCAATTCATTACACCCACGGTGAAACAAACAACATACACCACGAAACCCGATAGGTCATAACCAATACTCCACTTACCGAGCAACACCCAATTACTCTTCCCGCTCGACTCTCACTATGAATCCCCAATAGAACCGCACCACATGTGCCCATAACCAACAAATCATAACGTCTCACAACACCGAAAAGCAACTCATAGCTCTCCTCAGATCACTAACAAGCTCAATAAAGATCGAATCAACCTATCCCTCAACAATACAATTCGGGGCCAACCAAGCCAACTCAAGCTAAACACGTATCCACATCGTCCTACCAACGAACTCATTACGAAGAAAGCCTGAAGCTGCTCCTTCCACTACTATAACTCCTGCCGGAGCCGTACGATACGGTGCCCGGCACCAAATCAATATCGAAATCCACCACCTCACCCGGCGACATGCCCGGCCACAAGAAACGCATCCGAAAAGTCCCTTAACACCAAAACAGACCCAATGGTAGAAACCTCTGCACTGACATCCATCACGAAGGCCCAATTAAGAAAAGCAATCCTTCCCAGCCGTCCGCTGGGTCTTTGAAATATAAACCACTCTGCAAGAACATAATCCAATGCACCTCGCCACTCAACCCGTGGCATTTCCGGCATAGCCCGTAGCGCAATAGTTCAGCATTACCTAACACTAAGACAACCAGTCTGAATTTCAACATCACATTCAAAATCTAACATACCAACAGACAAAGATCCACTCGAGCCTCCAAATCCCGATTGCCGTTAAACGGTGCCGAATACACATGATCCACAACCCGACATAGCCTATACATGAGAACTCCCAGTCTCCAACTCCATATAGCACACGAATCATCATACCTGATCCCAATTTTTGCCGTCCGAACGCATACCACACCTTAAATACCCCATCACTCCACGATAGATACTTTAAAATTTCCTGTGCCACCAAGCAAACCCGAATACCACCAGTTGATCCAACAAGAAAATGCCGCAATACTACCGAAGTATCATCAGTTTAATCACATTACCCTTTTTCTGAGACATATACTCTCGTCAAATCGCTTCCAATTAGCAGCACCATTTCCTTGATTATCTGAGGCTACCCGTTGCCTAAGAGTTTTATGAACTTCTTTTCGGAACTGAACTGAAACCTCGTACACGCAAATCTCGATCCTCCACAACATA